TCTTCTTCCTGCTTAGAAAGGCATTATGATGGTGGGGGTGGAAGACGTCTGCCCTGTGACCAAGAGTACAGGAACTGCAGGCTATGGATGGTGGCACCAATGAGTTGAGGAGTCTTGGGTCCTAAGGAGCCCTGAATTCTGGACCAGTTATTTCCAGAATTCTTATGTCAGAGAAAAATGAGTCCTATTTTTTTGATTTTTATACTCCTTTAAGTTGGCCATGTGTCACTACAGCTCTTAGAGAGAGCAATGATTTTGTCTTCTTCATGGTTCAACTCCTTCATTGCTCAATAATTTTCATGGAGACGAGCGTAAGGCCAGAAACATGGTGAAGATGTTTTAAATAAAAGTGACAGAAAATGATAGCTGGGAAATATAAAATGTCACACTATCACCCGTCACCATTAGAACATGGAGAAGATGGCCAGGTTAGTCCTGGCAGAGAGCCAGGCCTCTAGGGAGTGGGACACAGGAGAGGTGGGTCGAGATGTGCAGTGAACAGGGAATCAGGCTGCAGAATCCCCCCAAGCCCTGCCACTAGCTTTAGCAAATCACTCCTTCTCTCTGAACCCATTTTTCCATCAGAATCAAAGGCCTAAGCTCCTTATCAACCTTGACTTTCTCCTTAGCTTTGAGATGATGATTCCAAGGGCCTTGCTGTTGATTTACCCCCTCCCTGTAAAACCATGTGGAAATTTCCATCCCCTCCAAAGCAAGGGGCATTTAAATTTGACCTGTAGGTCAGCCTCCTCTACTGTTGTTGATTAGAAACCATTTCCCGCACAAAGCACAAACCACAAACTCTCCCTGAGGAGCAGGCTGTGGTCCATTTGTGTGCATGGAGGCACTCCAGGCCTGAGGAACCAGGAAGTTTGCTTGGTCCAGAAGCACATGGCGGCCAGGTGCAGTGGCTCACGCTTGTAACCCCAGCACTTTGGGAGGCCAAGGCAGGCGGATCACTTGAGTCCAGGAGTTTGAGACCAGCATGGGCAACATAGCAAAATCCTATCACTACAAAAAATAAAATAAAATTATCCCTGTGGTGACATGTGCCTGTAGTCCCAGCTATTCAGGAGGCTGAGGTGGGAAGATCACATGAGCCTGGGAGGTCGAGGTTGCAATAAGCCATGATCTTGCCACTTCACTCCAGCGTGGGTGACAGAGTGAGACCTTGTCAAAAAAAAAAAAAAAAAAAAAGAAAGAAAGAAAGAAAAGAAAAAAGGAAAGAAAAGAAAAGAAAAGAAGCACATGGCTATTTAGTGTGTGCTGCTGAAGGGCAGCAAAGCCAAGGGGCTAAGATTCAGATGAGCCAACCCAGCTTTGAATCCTGTCTGTAAGCCTCAGTATCCCCTGCTGTCACATGGGGATACTGGCAGAAAAAAATCAGAACAATTAAAGGAGAGAAAAAGGATTAAAAGTGCTCTTGATGCCAAGATTTGGCACAATGACTGGAGCACAGGTGTTCTAAATGATGATTACAGCATCATGTGCCCTGCAGTGTGCTTGTGTGCTTGAGGATGTGTAGGAGAGGACAATCAACTCACATTCCCAGGCACCTTTTCCAGTCCAGGCAGTGTGCTCCGTGCCTGACATTCCTGATTGTCTTTACAACTTCTAAAGCTTATCAGGAAGATCTTTCTGTTCTCTCATTTCATTTTTCACAATACCACTGCCCACTAAGATTGTATTATTTCCTTTTCATTTTGTAATAGATGAGGAAACTCGCTGGGAGAGGTAAAGTCACTTGCCCAAGATCCTGTAGCTGGTCAGCAGCAGGGCCACGTCTGCATGGCTCTGACACAATGTGGTCCTCACTTTTAGTGATTTGCCCTGTCCATTCAGTGTGAGAAGAGCTGTCCAAATAATACGCATTGTAGCCCATCGTGCTACTCCATGAAGAAGAATATGTGAATGTTCTAGATTGCAGATTAAAGTAGTCTAGTGAGTCTCATTTCTGGAAGAAGCAGGATGGAGAGGGAGGTGGAAGGCATTCCAGGCAGTATGTGCATAAACAAAGTCACAGAGATGAAATTTAGCCCAGGGCATTAAGGAGCTATCACAGACACTGTGATATTAGAGGTCTTAGAAGGATGCCTTAAGGGACTTTCAAAAGTTTAGCTTAGTTTATTTAGTCCTTCACACTAGGAGAATCCACTAAAAATTTCTGAGCATAAGAATTTTGTGATGGTAAACATCATTTGCAAGAAATTCACCTGGTGTGTGCAGGATAGACCACATGGGAAAAAAGGTATATGATTGGAATCTTGGATCAGGAATGAGCAAACAAAAGGGCAGATCATGATGGAGCAGGGATGAGGGATGAAAGTAGGTGTTTACAAAGCGTGAACAAATCAGGCACCCTGAGGCTTCTGCTATCACAGGTACTTCGCATGATACATTGGAGAACTTCCTTGAAAATCAAAAGATTAGAGCAGCAAATGATAGAAGAAACAGTGTGGAGTGGTGCCTAAGAGAAGTGGGAAGTAGGACAATCATGGATTAGATGCTAAATCTGCTGGTTATCAGCCATGTGACCTCCATCAAATTTCTGGGGCTTCAATCTCCTCTTCTATAAACTAGGAGAGATAAATATAATTCTTATCTCAGATGATTGAATATGGGAGTTTAAGAAGAGAATGGAAAGTGCTTAGCACAGCAGTAGTATAAATGCTCAGGGATGGTAATTACTGTTGTTACCACCACCACCTCCATCATCATCATCATCATTACTACCACCACCATCACCACAAACATTATCACCATCATAACCACCACCATTACCATCACCACCATCGTCACCATCACCATTATCACTATCACTACCATCACCATCACCACCATCATCACCCTCACCATCATCACCACCATTGTCACCACATCACCATCACCATTACCACCACCATCACCACCACCACTATCACCATCACCACCACCATCACCATCATCACCACCACCACCACCATCACCATCACCACCATCATCACCCTCACCATCATCACCACCACTGTCACCACATCACCATCACCATTACCACCACCATCACCACCACCACTATCACCATCACCACCACCATCACCATCACCATCATCACACCCATCGTCACCATCACCATCATCACCACCATCGCTCCACCATCACCTCCACCATCACCATCATCACCACCATCATCACCATCACCGTCACCACCATCACCACCACCACCACCACCATCACACCACCATCATCACCATCATCACCATCATCACCATCATCACACCATCACCATCACCATCATCACCACCATCATCACCATCACCATCATCACCATCATCACCACCACCATCACCATCACCACCATCATCACCCTCACCATCATCACCACCACTGTCACCACATCACCATCACCATTACCACCACCATCACCACCACCACTATCACCATCACCACCACCATCGCCATCATCACCACCACCATCACCATCACCATCATCACCACCACCACTATCACCATCACCACCACCATCACCATCATCACCATCACCATCATCACCACCATCATCACCATCACCATCATCACCATCACCATCACCATCACCATCATCACCACCATCACCATCACCATCATCACCATCATCACCACCACCATCACCATCACCACCATCATCACCCTCACCATCATCACCACCACTGTCACCACATCACCATCACCATTACCACCACCATCACCACCGCCACTATCACCATCACCACCACCATCACCATCATCACCACCACCATCACCATCACCATCATCATCACCATCATCACCATCACCATCATCATCACCATCATCACCATCACCATCATCACCATCACCATCACCATCACCACCATCACCATCACCGTCACCATCACCACCATCACCATCATCACCACCACCATCACCACCACCATCATCACCATCACCATCATCACCATCATCACCACCACCACCACCATCACCATCACCACCATCACCACCATCACCACCACCATCACCATCACCATCATCACCACCATCATCACCATCACCATCATCACCACCACCATCACCATCACCATCATCACCATCACACCATCCTCCACGCCATCACCATCACCACCAGCGTTATCACCCACCACATCGCCTTTACAGCCTCCACCACCATCATCAACATCACTACAACCACAGCCTCCACCACCATCATCAACATCACTACAATCACCACCACCTCCACCACTATCATCTCCATCACTATCACCACCACCATTCCTACCACCATCATCACCGTCACCACCATCACCTCCATCACCCCATCATTACCACCATCACCACCATCACTATCACTACCACCAGCAACATCAGTCATCACCATAACCCACTGTTACTACCACCATTATCACCACCACCATCACCACCGTCATCATCACTACCGTCACCGTCACCATCATTACCATCACCACCATTAACAACCAGTATTATTGCCACCATCACCACCAACACAATCAGTACCAACATCACCATCACCACCATTATCATCATTACCAGCACCATCATTATTACCTTGCAGAACCACAGACTGTCAGGGTTGGAAGAGTCCACGGGGATTTCCCTGTCTAAAAATTCTCATTTTAGGGCCGCCGTCGCCGCCCGGGCCCGCACCCCCAGCCGTAGGCCTAGAGCACGGTGCTATGGGAGGCGCGTGCCCGGGCCAGGCGCTCGGCGAGGCCGCTCCACCGCACACGCACACACAGACCCCGGCAGCAGGAACGCAGATGACACGCCCGAAACGTGGAAGCCACCCCGCCCCGCCGCCGCTCCGAGTACAGCAGCAGCAGCCACAGCAGCAGCCCCCAGCGGCGCTGCACTGAACAAAGGTCATAGGAGCTGCGGCCCAGACGCCTGGTCTTGACCGCCGCGAAGGCCAACCCCGGGAAGGGGGGTATGTCCTGTTTTGTGGTTTTTCTTTCAGACGCTACTAAACGGTGTTGGGGATGCTTCTGACTATTATGAAGGCCAAAAGGCCTGTTGACTGGGGCTGCTTTTAACCCTTTCCTATTTGTTGAGAATGCAGCCGTGTGACAGTAACTGAACTTTGGTCTAAAGTCTTTCCAAAAGGTCAAGGTTCACAAGAACATCTGCTCAAATTCATGACCATGGGGGATATGAAGACCCCAGACTTTGATGACCTCCTGGCAGCATTTGACATCCCAGATATGGTCGATCCTAAAGCAGCTACTGAGTCTGGACACAATGACCATGAAAAGCCACATGAAGCAGAACACTCATGGGGAGGATGATGCCCAGCACCACCATCTTCCAACGTGGGTGTCAGTGTTATCATCAAGAATGTTGGGAACATCCACTCCTCCGAGGGCAGGAGGAAAGACGGCCATAACCCCACCGGCAATGGCCTACATAATGGATTCCTCACAGCGTCCTCCCTCGACAGTCACAGTAAAGATGGAGTGAAGTCCTTGAAAGGAGATGTGCCTGCCCCTGAGGTGACTCTGAAAGACTCGATGTTCAGTCAGTTTAGCCCGATCTCCAGTGCTGAAGAGTTTGATGATGATGAGAAGATGGAGGTGGATGACCCCCTGACAAGGAGGACGTGCTAAGCTGCAGGTCCAACCTGTTGACGGGGTCCGCTCCCTGGCAGGGCTACGATAAGCTGAAGGCACTCGGAGGGGAAAACTCCAGCAAAATGGGACTCTCTGTATCAGGCAATATGGAGAAAAACAAAGTTGTTAAGAGAGAAACAGAAGCCAATTCTATAAACCTGAGTGTTTGTGAACCTTTTAAAGTCAGAAAAGCAGAGGATAAATTGAAAGAATGCTGGAAAACAGAGTCCTGGATGGGAAGCCGAGCTCCAACAAGAATGACACCGGCCTCCCTGGCGTTGTGCAATGAAGACAAAGTCATCCTCCAAGCTCTGGTCCTGCGTTGCTGCCATCGCAGCTCTCAGCCCTAAAAAGGCGGCTTCAGACTCCTGCAAAGAACCAGTGGCCAATTCGAGGGAATCCTCCCTGTTACCAAAAGAAGCAAACGACAGTCGGAGTGCAGCCGACACGTCTCCTGAATCCCAGAATCTCATCGAGGGTACCCAAAAAAAAAAACACCCCTAAAGCAACCGGAAAGTCCCAGAAGCATCTCAAGTGAGAACAGCAGCAAGGGCTCCCTGTCCTCTCCTGCAGGGTCCACACCAGCAATTCCCAAAGTCCGCATAAAAACGATTAAGACATCTTCTGGGGAAATCAAGAGAACAGTGACCAGGTTATTGCCAGAAGTGGATGCTGACTCTGGGAAGAAACTTTCCGAGCAGATGGCGTCCCTGATGGCCTCTGTGACATCCATTCTTTCGTCTCCAGCATCAGCCACTGTCCTTTCCTCTCCCCCCAGGGCGCCTCTCCAGTCCGTGGTCATGACCAACAGTTTCCCCTGCAGAGCTCACGCCCAAACAGGTCACAATCAAGCCTGTGGCTACTGTTTTCCTCCCAGTGTCCACTGTGAAGACGGCAGGATCCCAAATCATTAATTTGAAGCTCGCTAACACCACCACGGTGAAAGTCAGGGTCATATCTGCTGCCTCTGTCCAGAGCTCCAGCAGCGCCATCATTAAAGCCGCCAACGCCATCCAGCAGTAAATTGTCATGGTGCCGGCATCCAGCCTGGCCAACGCCAAACTCGTGCCAAAGACTGTGCACCTTGCCAACCTTAACCTTTTGCCTCAGGGTGCCCAGGCCACCTCTGAACTCCACCAAGTGCTAACCAAACCTCAGCAACAAATAAAGCAGGCAATAATCAATGCAGCAGCCTCTCAAACCCCCAAAAATGTGTCTTGAGTCCAGGTGATGTCGTCCTTGCAGAGTTCTGTGGTGGAAGCTTTCAACAAGGTGCTGAGCAGTGTCAATCCAGTCCCTGTTTACATCCCAAACCTCAGTCCTCCCACCAATGCAGGGATCACATTACCGATGCCTGGGTACAAGTGCTTGGAGTGTGGGGACTCCTTTGCACTTGAAAAGAGTCTGACTCAGTACTCCGACAGACAGAGCATGCACATGAAGTAACGTGCAACCATTGTACAAAGAACCTCATTTTTTACAACAAATGCAGCCTCCTTTCCCATGCCCATGGGCATAAGGAGAAAGGGGTGGTAATGTAATGCTCCCACTTAATTTTAAAGCCAGTCCCAGCAGATCAAATGGTAGTTTCTCCATCAAGCAATACTTTCACTTCAACTTCCACTCTTCAGAGCCCTGTGGGAGCCGGCACACACACACTCACAAAAATTCAGTCTGGCATAACTGGGACAGTCATATCAGCTCCTTCAAGCACTTCCATCACCCCAGCCATGCCCCTAGTTGAAGACCCCTCCGAACTGTGTAGATATAGTCTACAATGTTTGGAGTGTAATGAAGTCTTCTAGGACGAGACATCACTGGCTACACATTTCCAGCAGGCTGCAGATCCGAGTGGACAAAAGACTTGCACCATCTGCCAGATGCTGCTTCCTAACCGGTGCAGTTACACATCACACCAGAGAATCCATCAGCACAAATCTCCCTACACCTGCCCTGAGTGCGGGGCCTTCTGCAGGTCTGTGCATTTCCAGACCCATGTCACCAAGAACTGTCTGCACTACACAAGAAGAGTTGGTTTTCAATGTGTGCATTGCAATGTTGTGTACTCTGATGTGGCTGCTCTGAAGTCTCACATTCAAGGTTCTCACTGTGAAGTCTTCTACAAGTGTCCTATTTGTCCATTGGTGTTTAAGTCTGCCCCAAGCACACATTCCCACGCCTACCTTCAGCATCCTGGCATCAAGATAGGAGAACTAAAAATAATATATAAATGTTCCATGTGCGACACTGTGTTCACCCTGCAAACCCTGCTGTATCGCCACTTTGACCAACACATTGAAAACCAGAAGGCATCTGTTTTCAAGTGTCCAGACTGTTTTCTTTTATATGTACAGAAGCAACTTATAATGGACCATATCAAGTCTATGCATGGCACATTGAAAAGTATTGAAGGATCTCCAAATTTGGGGTTAAACCTGCCTTAGAGCATTAAGCCTGCAACTCAAAATTCAGCAAATCAGAACAAAGAGGACACCAAATCCATGACTGGGAAAGAGAAATTGGAAAAGAAATCTCCATCTCTGGTGAAAAAATCAATGGAAACCAAGAAAGTGGCCAGTCCTGGGTGGACGTGTTGGGAGTGTGACCGCCTGTTCATGCAGAGGGATGTGTACATATCCCACGTGAGGAAGGAGCACGGGAAGCAAGTGAAGAAACACCCCTGTCGCCAGTGTGACAAGCCTTTCAGCTTGTCCCACAGCCTGTGCCAGCACAACCGGATCAAGAACAAAGGCATCAGGAAAGTGTACGCCTGCTCACACTGCCCAGACTCCAGACGTACCTTTACCAACCGGTTGATGCTGAAGAAGCACGTCCAGCTGATGCACCGCATCAAGGACCCTGACCTGAAAGAAATGAGACGATGCCACCAATGAAGAGGAAGCAGAAATAAAAGAAGACACCAAGGTCCCCAGTCCCAAGTGGAAGCTGAAAAAACCGGTTCTGGAGTTCAGGCCTTCCAGAGGAGCCATCACTCAAAAGCTGAACATCAATGTTTTTAAGGTCCACAAGTGTGCCGTGTGTGGCTTCTCCACCGAAAACCTGCTGCAGTTCCACGAACACATCCCTCAGCACAAATCGGATGGTTCTTCCTACCAGTGCCGGGAGTGTGGTCTCTGCTACACATCTCATATCTCTCTGTCCAGGCACTTCTTCATCGTACACAGGTTAAGGGAACCTCAGCCAGTGTCCAAGCAAAATGGGGCTGGGGAAGATAACCAATAGGAGAACAAACCCAGCCACGAGGATGAATCCCCTGATGGCACCGTGTCAGACAGAAAGTGCAAAGTGTGCGCAAAAACTGTTGAAACTGAAGCTGCCTTAAACACTCACATGCGGACACACGGCATGGCCTTCATCAAATCCAGAAGGATGAGCTCAGCCGAGAAATAGCCACAGATGCTCCATGGGGAAAATCCCTGTCCACATTGGAATAAAAAAGACATTTTTGTTACAAAAAGTTTGCAGTATAACAGAGTTAATAGTGTATGTTGCAATATATTCTCTTTCAACGTACCTTCCTTCAGCTCGTTGTATATATCCTCGATAAGTATTAAAACAGTATTTGAGTTTAAAAGAGTTTGTATATATTTAAATGAATAACTTTTTATACTCTTTGTTACATGTTTGTATCAGTATTTAGTGGAAAACCATCTGAGTTGTTTTGGGTTAGAATTTTTCTTTTTGTACCGTTTCTTTAAAACAGAGTTCTTAGTAACAGGGGCAGTTCCTGAATTCAAATAAACCATTTTGTATTTTTGGATTTTGAATGGGTTAACAAATTACAGGCTAAAATAATGCCTTTTTTAGTGTTTTTAATTTTTAGAATTCACTACATAAATTGTAAGTAATTGTGGGTCTCAAAAACACTAGGAACTTTTAAGTGTCTTAGCACTTCCTCGATGGGCCTGCCCTGAGGGAGTGAGTTCACATTTGACACAACTGCGCTCCACTGTGGGCGTGCCTTTGTCTTCAGGTCACGCCAAAGGGTGTTTAAAGCAGCCTTGCAGGTCACTCCTTTCCCAGCCGTGGATAAAAACTGAAGCCAGGAATCTAATAAGGAATGCTGATTTCCTCAAATCCATTTTGAGGAATGGGGAACACTATTCAAAAGAAAAAAATGGGACTGGTTTTCTGGGCAGATCTGCAAGGCTGGCTTTAAGAGCACAAGGAGGGAAAATAATCAAAGGGCTGGACTACTATAAAAGTTACAAATATGTAGTTAGACCAATAGATTTATATAGTCAGGTTTTTGTCATGTAATTTATTAACTATTACAGAAACACAACTAAGAATATCAAGCATTTCTCTGGCTCTTGACAGAAAAAAAATCAGTTGACTTAACCCTTTACTGTCAAAAGAGTTAGTGTTTCTTGTTCTGGATGCTACTGCCAAACGTTCTGGTACTTAGAGTCGGGATGGACAACTTCAACCACCAACTTATCAATGCAGCCGCCTGTGTATTGCAATTGGCCGTTACCTTAAGCACTGAGCCACCCGGGTTTAGTTCAGCCATTTCAAGAGTATATTTAATGCTAGTAATTCTGCTTTATTAAAATGCAGCAGAGGTACTCTTCTGCCCCTTCTGTTTATAGTTCTCTGAGAGAGTTCTATTTTTTGGTTTTGTTTTGTGTTTTCTTTTGCATTTTATACCTTGTATTTATCCCTGAACATGTTTTGTGCTTTTTTTTTTTTTTTTTTAAGAAAAGGAATTCTTTTGTGTATATATAGATACTTGCATGATATACTGTGGTCAACGTTCAGTTCCTTGAAAGGTCTTGCTGCTGTCGGATGTTAAGCACTCCATCCATCATAACTGTATGAAACACATTTCATATGTAAATAAACATGGGACATTTGGCCTTTGAAAAAAAAATTCTCATTTTACAAAAGGGGAAATTGAGACCCAGAGACTGGCTCAAGCTTGTACAATGAGTTAATGGCAGACCTGGAACTAGAACCAGGAACTCCTGGCCGCCGCTCCCATGTTCTTGCCCCTGACACCAGACCATGTGAGAAATATTGTCAATCAGCACACATTCTTCACAGGATTCATAGGGAAAGATTTGAAGACTTTTTCCTCTTCAGGGTGGTCCTAACTCTTCCATTTCCTTGTGGTATGTTTCCATAGTCAGTTATTCGTTGTGTTCTAACCCTCAGCAGGTATCCAGAGTGAGTGTGTTTCTAACAAACTGATTTTCATTTTAGTAAAAGAAATTTTAAAAATGAAACTAAGAAAGAAAAAGAAAGTAGGAGTCTCTTTCAAGGGAGCCTCCCTGATCAGTGATTTGGAGCTGGGGTTCTGACACACGTGGACGTAGTGCTAAGGCAGTGGCGACTCCTGCAGAAAATTCTGCCGTGGATGTGCTTAAGGTTCTGACACGCTTCCAAAGAACTCCTACGGAATTCTTGAAACATTTGGATGGAATTTTTGCAAAGCAGCCTCATGGAATCTTTTATAAGCCCTCCTGTAAGTCCTGCTGCACTTCCTTCGATTGCTTCTAGAATGTTCATGTCATCTGTGCCTCCTTCTCATAGAATTTTTCCACAAGTCTGAGGGAATGTTCATAGAAGACCTATGGAGTTCTCAATGAATTTTCATGAAAACCTCTCAGAATTCTTAATGTGATCCTTAATGAATTCTCACAGAAACAGCATGGAATTCTTACTTGGAAGAGTCCCCCAGCTTCCATGGAATTCTTAACTAACCCTCATGGCATGCTAATAAAATTCCAAAGACATGTTCACAGAACTTGCATTAAATTATCTTAGAAACCACAGAAAGGACTCCAAGAAAATGTGCAGAATTCCTTGGGAACAAAAACTAACGATTCTCCAAACTCTCAAGGATAAGACGGGTCCAGTCCTTGGGGTCACTTTGTCCTAGGATTCTTAGAATGGGTGTCTTCACTAAACGTGATGAGAAGGCAGGCGCAGATGTGTCTCAAGCTGTAACTTCTGATTTGAGCAGCAGGGAAGGAGCAGGTCCTCTCGGCGTTAGATGAGGGATTTTCTCATCAAATATTTTCCCATCCCACTTTGTACTGTCACACGCCAAAGCCAGCTCCACACACAATCTAGCAGCAGTTGAACGGAGTGTCTCCATCCAGTCCTTTATGTTATTAATCTATCCCCAGCCCCTCCCTTTGGAGCCTCGGGCTGTCCATGGATGTTCTCCCAATCATTAATTAAGCCCGAGTCAATTAAGAGCCCTGGATGCTGGCACATTATGGGCACCATCTATTGATGTAACATAATTCTTTTCAGGTTAGAATCCATGCAGGGCTGGATTTTCATTGAACCCACCCCAGAGCCTGCTGTTACAGGACAATACCCCGGGTTTTGCAAGCCGGCCTCCACAGAAACTGGATCCCAAGGGGCTCGGCATGGGGGACAGTACTGCCACACAAAGGAGATGCCCCGGGAGGTCAGGGAGGCAGCCAGGCAGCGCTACCCTGCTTTCAGCACACAAGCATCTGCCAAGGCCTGGCCTACTCTGAGCCCGCCTGGCCCTGTCCCAAACTCTGGTCCTGGGAGCCGAGGACCAACAAGCTGGTTAATGCGGCCAGCACAGAGGGTCTTTGGCCTTCATGCCTGGTTTGCTGAGCAGCCCTGGATGAGCCTCTGGAGCCCCATGAGCTCTTCTCCACTCTTAGCTGGGCTGACTCCAGCTGGTTCCTGAGGACTCAACTCATGACAGCTGCTCCCCAGGGAAGCCCCGGGTAAGCTCAGTGGCCCTGCTTCATGCTTTCAGGGCCCCTGGCATGAATCACAACTCAAGCTCATTAAATGTGGGATGAATCACTTAGGGGCTGGGCTCCCAGCAGGGCAGAGACTCTGCCTTTTTTATCGCCGACTCCACAGTGCCAAGGCCGTGCACGGCACACATGGGGGTGCGATAGATGTTTGTTGAATGAATGAATGATGACAATCCCAACAATGCCATGATAATCATAAGAATAGTGGCTAACGCTTAGGGAGTACTTTCTATGCCTGGCACTAGTCTAAGTCTTTCCATGCATTAAATGCATTTAAGGAAAGAATGAATACACTTGGAATGCCCTGGTGTGGAATATTTATAAGCATAAACTAATGCTAAGTACCTACTATGTGTCAAGCACTGCACTTGGCACTTTTTCCTTTTTATAATTCGAGGTTGAGTTTGCTGGATGAATTTCTTTTCAGGTGGCCGGGCAGCCTGTGGCTAGTTCCTGAGGACATGTGTGGTTCTGAAATCAATGAGAATCCAGAGTCAAAATCAATATCAATGACAGTCCCAAATTCCCTACCTTGTTTTATGCTTTAATGCTTACAAAAGGTCCCTGGGACACCCCGAGCTGCGAGGGAAGCTGGAAAGGGAGGACTCCATCTTTGCAGCCTATGTAATGGAGGGTGGGCCAGAAAGAAGCCGTGCTGTTGGGAGAGCCCTGGGTCAGTGGCTGCTGCAATCCTGGGAAGAGACAAGGGTGTGAGCTCTGGCCTTGAAGGCAGCAGGTCCAGCTGCCCAGCCTCTCTAAGCCTGGGCTTGCCTCCTTTGCAAGAGGAAGGAAGCTGTCCTAATGGTACCAACTCCAGATCCTGGAGTAATGCAGACGCTCACCACTTCTTACCGCTTTCGTGATGGTTACCACACCCACCTGTTTCCTGGACTTAATGTCCTTAATCATTCTCTTTCAATGGCCTCAACTTTTAAATACTCTAATCTCATCCCAAGCAATAATATCAATGAAATCACAGTTTGGATGTGTGTGGAAAAGACCTCAGTCTTTCCACAATAATCGCTCTCCCCTTCTTCCCTGTGGAAGAACCTCTTATTTCTTTGCTGGCCACAGAGTAGCTTGGAATAAAGATTCCCTGTCCTGGCTTCTCTTACAAGGAAAAGTGTGGGTTTTTTGTTTTTGTAAATGTTTTTAGAGATGTGGTCTTGCTATGTTTCCCAGGCTGTCTCAAACTCCTGGCCTCAAGTGATCCTCCAGCCTTGGCCTCCCAAAGTGTTTGAATTACAGTCATGAGCCACCATATCCATCTCACTAAGTGTGGTTTTATAGCTTGTCCTCACCAGTGGGATGTAAGTGTGAGTTAAAAGAGAGGAATGTATCTTTCTCCTTTCCTGTTCTCCTTGTTGCTGTCTGGAATATGGGCATGATAGCCAGAGCAGCAGCAGCCGGATTAGACCATGAGGTGACCTTGAGAGTGGAAGCCCTGCATAGCAGAGCAACAAAATAGAAAGAGATGGTCCTTGATCTTGTGGCATGCTGTATTAGTCTGTTTCCATTTGTCTATAAAGAACTACCTGAGACTGTGAAATTTATGAAGAAAAGAAGTTTAACTGACTCACAGTTCTGCAGGCTAAACAGGAAACATGACTAGGAGGCTTCAGGAAAGTTACAATCATAGCAGAACGCAAAGGTGAAGTAAGGCATGTCTTACCATGCGACAGGAGAGAGAGACAGTGAAGGAGGAAGTGCCACTTTTAAACCACCAGATCCCATGAGAACTCACTCACTACTGTGAGAACAGCATGGGGGAAACCACCCCCATAAGTCAATCACCTCCCACCAGGCCCTCCCTCAACACATGGGGATTACAATTTGAGATAAGATTTGGGTGGAAATGCACCAAATCATGTCATTCTACTGCTGTCCCCTGTCCCCTCCCAAATCTCATGTTCTTTTCACATTTCAAAACACAATCATACCTTCCCAACAGTCCCCCAAAGTGTTAACTCATTTCAGCATTAACCCAAAAGTCCAAGTCCAAAGTCTCATCTGAGACAAGGCAAGTCTTTTCCACCTATGAGCCTGTAAAATAAAAAGTAAGTCAGTTACTTCCAAGATGAAACGGGGTTACAGGAATTGGGTAAATCTTCCAGTTCCAAATGGGAGAAATTGGCCAAAACAAAGGGACTACAGGCCCCATGCGAGTCAGAAACTCAGCAAGGCAGTCATTAAATCTTAAAGCTCTGAAATGATCTCCTTTAACTCCATGTCTCACATCCACGGCATGCTGATGCAAGGGGTGGGCTCACAAGGCCTTGGGCAGCTCCACTTCTGTGGCTTTGTGGAGTACAGACCCTGAGACTGCTTTCACAGGTTGACATTTAGTGCCTGTGGTTTTTCCAGATGCATGGTGCAAGCTGTCAGTGGATCTACCATTCTGGGGTCTGGAGGATGATGGCCCTCTTTTCACAGCTCCACTAGGCAGTGCACCAGTGGTGACTCTGTGTAGGGGCTCCAATCCCACGTTTCCCCCTCTGCACTGCCCTAGTAGAAGTTCTCCATGAGGGTTCCACCCCTGCAGCAGACTTCTGCCTGGGCATCCAGTTGTTTCTGTACACCTTCTGAAATCTAGGAAGAGGCTCTCAAACCTTAACTCTTGCATTCTGTGTACCTGCAGGGCAAACACCACATGAAAGCCACCAAGGCTTAGGGCTTGCACCCTCTGAAACAATAGCCGAAGCTGTACCTTGGCTCCTTTTAGCCATGGCTGGAGCTGGAGCAGCTGGGACAAAGAGCACAGTGTCCTGAGGCTGCACAGAACAGTGGGGCCCTGGGCTTGGCCCAGGATGCCATTTTTTCCTCCTAGGCCTCTAGGTTTTTGATGGGAGAGGCTGCCATGAAGGTCTCTGAAATGCTCTGGAGACATTTTTCCCATTGTCTTGGCTATTAACATTAGGCTTCTCTTTACTTA